TAGTTTCACAGTCACCATTACTGACACTAGCTTCAAATTCCAGACGTATTGAATGAATAATCTCCAGCGTGAATTGCTGCCAAAGATTTTCTGATAATGTTTCTGTGAAGCGCCCTGGTGCGTTTTGTTGTGATCAAGATGCAATATAAATGCAAGATGTTGTTGTCAAATGAATGAATTTTCCAGAATGTGACTGGAAATAATAAATCAGTGTTTCATCGGAGAAAAGCTCATTTTGATATTGAAAGTCCTTCTGTTCCCCTGAAAGCAGCCCACGGTTAGAATCTTGGATAGACAATTAACCCCATTACTTGGGAACATTGAAGCAAGCCTGGAGTCCGTCTGCTCCAAACAAAGAACAGCAGCTTGATAACATCTCACTAAATACCATCATTAGCAAAATGGAAATCTTTACAATATGAAGACTTTTTGTTCGAATTGCTAACATTTGACATTAAAAAGGCAAATTAATTTTTAACTCAAGCCGTGGATATGGACATTGAGATATAACAGAATAGCATTGAGCTTGTCCTGACATCTATTAACAGCTCTTAACTACTTGGTGGGGGTGGAGGAGCTGATTATTACCCAGCTGGTGGGCAGAGACTGGTGGGTCGTTATCACGGACTGTGTTAGTTAAAAAAATTACCATGCGGTGTACTGTTCCTTCTTATATGGATTCATGGTGATATGGGTGTCACTGTCTGGGCCAGTGTTTATTCCCCATCCCTCGCTGCCCTTGAGAAGGTGGGGGTGAGCTGCCTTCTTGAACCGCTGCAGTCCATGTGCTGTGGGTTGACCCACAATTCCCTTAGGGAGGGAATTCTAGGATTTTGACCCAGTGACAGTGAAGGAACGGCTATATTTCCAAGTGGGGATGATGAGTGGCTTAGAGGGGAACTTGCAGGGTGTGGTGTTCCCATGTATCTGCTGCCCTTGTCCTTCCAGATGGAAGTGTTCATGGGTTTGGAAGGTGCTGTCTGAGGATCTTTGGTGAATTTCTGTAGTGCATCTTGTAGATAGTACACACTGCTGCTACTGAGCGTCGGTGGTGGAGGGAGTGAATGTTTGTGGATGTGATGCCAATCAAGCAGGTGCTTTGTCCTGGATGGTGTCAAGCTTCTGGAGCTGCACCCATCCAGGCAAGTGGGGAGTATTCCATCACACTCCTGACTTGTGCCTTGTAAATGGTGGACAGGTTCTGGTGGAGTCAGGAGGTGAGTTATGCATGACCACCTTACAGGCATGTAGGATGGAACTTAATGCCATCTGCCTGTGGAGTGTTTGGTGAAGAAACAATCAGGAAGGTGCCAGGTGAGGACCCACCACATTCCTGTCTCCATCCTAACTAGGTGGGCCTCATAGAATATGAGTTCCCTGATTGGGGCTGTTAATCTGCTTCAATCAGGGAGCCCTGGCTGACAGATATAAACAGGAGTGTCAGAGGTTCAGTTCATTCTGAGAGCTGGCTCTGAGGAAGGACTGTCCACAGGATACCAGCCTCTGTGGTGTTATCTTATTAACCTTATTGATAGGCTCCTTCCTCCACATTCCCCCCCCTCCGCAGCCTGAAATCTTACCTACAGCACATGGACTGCAACAGTTCAAGCAGCTCACCCCCACCTTCTAAAGGGGCAACCAGGGATGGCCAATACATGCTGGACCAGCCAGTGACATCTGTATCCCGAGAATGATTCATGTTCAATTTATTTTAATGTCTGCAAGACTTTTAGTCTCTAATCAAGTCAGAATGGAAATCATTTCGATTATGATTGAGTACAGTTGGGAGATGCTACAATAGAGAATGTATTTACATCAATCTGCAACGAATGAAGCTTATTTGATCATTAATCTTTCTGTTTGTAAATCGAGTTCTGTAATGAGATATCAACATAATTGGAAGCATGTCTGACAGCATGTATTTCTATCTGTTGATGACCAAGTTTCAGAGTGTTCTTTGTGAAGTTTAAATTACAAACTGTGCAGACTGTGGACTCCATAGTTCATTAGATAATGGGAGAAGGCCATTCCATCCTTCTAGCAACGTCACTGTTCACTAAAGGTTGTCATAGATGTTCAACATCAACTTGAGTTTCCAATATGGTTAGACAGGAAATGACTCATGGTCATTGTTTGGCATTTGTGTGGCAAGAATGTTATAGATTCATAGAGTCATACAGATGTAGAGGATGGAAACAGATCCTTTGGTCCAACCTGTCCTTGTGACCAGATATCCTAAATTACTCTAGTCTCATTTGCTAGCATTTGGCCTATATTTCTCTAAACCCTTCCTATTTATGTACATGTTGTCAATGTTACTTGCTCCTTAATCAGCCCAAGCCTGGACATTGCCCAGATCTTGTTGCATTTGAATATGGACTGCTTCAGTATCTGAGAAGTCATGAATGGTGCTGAACATTGTGTAATTATCAGTGAACCCTGACTCTGACTTTATAATAGAGGGAAGGTCATTGATGAAGCAGCTGAAGATGGTTGGGCCAAGGACACTACCCTGAGGAACTCCTGCAGAGATGTCCTGGAGCTGAGATGATTGAGCTGCAACAACCACAACCATTTTCCTATATGCCAGGTAGACTCCGACCAGCAGAGAGTTTGCCCCTTGATACCCATTGATTCCAGTTTTACTGGAGCTCCTTGATGCCACACTCGGTCGAATGCAGCCCTAATGTCAAGGGCTGTCACTCTGACCTCACCGTCTGGAATTCAGCTCTTTTGTCCATGTTCAAAACGAGTCTGTAATGAGCTTGAGTTATTCGGTGGAATTGAAAAGAGGTATTGATGAGCAGTGAGAGCTGCTTGATAGCACTGTCAATGAGACCATTCATCGTCACAGTGAACCACTTGCGAGCCATACCTTCAGTAGGAACAATCACTTTATATGTCAAGAAGAAAATCAATGGTACACTGAAAAAGGAGTTACAATGAATGCTATTATATGCCTTTACTTTATATATACCTTTTGACAAAGACATGACATTTTCCATTAGCTGAAATTTTGGAATATGATTTTGTTGCTGTAAGGAACTTACAGGAGTGAGACCCACTGGAAGGGGCTGCAGTGAGCTGACACAGACACTACTGTTCCAATAGTCCCTTTCATGTTATTTCTTTCATCGCTGAATACCCCAGTATTATTGTGTGATTCTGATTAAATCTCTCAGTTACAGTTTAAACAAATCTGATAACAGTCTGAGATTAAACACAAGAATTGTCCATAATGAGGGAACATTAGAATATATTATCTGTAAAAATAATGGGTCTGTAATTTTTGTGCCAATTTTCTGCTAACTTCACTGGTCTGGCCTCTTGCCTCAGCCTCACAAAGCAGCTGACTGCTGATACAGTTAGGAACCCAGCAGGAAAACAGAAAACAAAATCTCTGTTTATCGATACCATCACAGAGCAGTGCTGTGTTCTGTGCCTGAGAACATTGTCTACTCCCATATCCGAGATATCGCACAATGGCCAGTGTTGGATCTTTTATCTCAAGGCCTGAGTCCCATCTGCTAAGTGTTCCCTCCAAGTATCTGTTAGAAAAGGAACAGTTCTTTAATCGCAAGACATAAATAATTCATGGTTGCTGTGGATGTGTGTTGCCAATGTGTGAGAGCAGCTTCTCGAACCTGTCAAAACTGGAAAATATTCTTCCGGAGGTTTTGAAAACATGAAATGGCAGTGGGCAGTTAAAACGGGTTTGCTTTCTTCCTTCGCCTGCTCTTTGGGTGAGACATCAAAGTGAGGCTGTGTCTGCCCCAAGGGGTGAATGTTACAAAGAACAACACAGAATCTCATCTGGGTGGCCACGCCAACATTTGTTCCTCAAGTAACCTCACTGTCACTGATTATCCAATCATACCTACAGCTTCATTCTGGAAAATGTGACGTGGCTTTCCCCAACTTGGAACTGTGACTAAATGTCAAAAGCACTTCATTGCTTGTAAAGCACTTTGTTTTATTCACTCATAGATGTGGGCATGGCTACTCCAGCATTTACTGCCCATCCCTAATTACCCCCTTTGAGAAGATGCTGGTGAGCTGCTGCCTTGAACCATAGGTAGACCCACAATGGGATCTCTTTGTGAGACCCTGAGGTCATCAAAAGTGCAGTGCATTGTAAAGCATTTGGTCACTCTTTCTGCTCGTGGGGTCTTTAGCCACGTTTCATTCTGAAGATAGATTTGGAAGCAGTTGCTTGAAATACAAACCCCAGGAA